TGCAATTAGGAATGGTTTTAGTCTTCTAGAAGGTTCTTTTCATTCCTAATTCAATTAGCATTGATAAATTGACTTTTGTTGAGTTTTTAGAGTTTTAATCTGAATAAAAGAACGTTTTTGAGGAAAATACGATTTTATCCTCCTGTACGGCAATTTCTATCTGATTTTAAGAAAACACGTCAATTTCTTAGTCAGCGCCAAACGCCAGGTGTAGCGCCTAACGCTACGCTTGGCGCCTGGCGCTAACGTCAGCGATTGGCGCTAACCTGGTTTTTCGCGTCAGAGCTCTGTTTTTGCTGTTTTATCTTTTTGGCTGATTTTCTTTATAAATAACTTCCTAAAAACTCTGTTTTCATTCACCAACTCTCATCAAGATTTTCTTGATTATTTTCTCTCTCTCTCTCTTTTCTAAACTAGCCTTTTCACAAATATAAAAATTCTGCATTCATTAGATTTAGAAACACCTAGCCATATTCGAAGTTGCCTTCGCCTTAGACGTGAAAGGTTTAATTTCTGAGGGTTTGGTCTCAAATCTCTCTTTCAATTATTTAATTTAATTGTTTGTTTATTATTTTCCTTGAAGTTACTAACGCGTGTATTTTGTTATTAGAAAGAGGTACGAGGCATCCAAGTAAGTACTTTAATGGTTTTTTTTATTAATATTATGATATAGAAATCATGCTTAGATTGTTATTATGATTCCTAATGTTATGTTAGGGCGTTTTGATCTTCCTAGTACCATGTCTAGGGTAACTTTAATACTAAGTATGATTAAAAGTATGATGCTTCCTATTTTCTTTCCTAATATTCATGTTAGTATCATGTTAGGGTTAAAGCTTTGATTTTTTTTAATTCTTAGTGACATGCTAGGGTTTGTTATTAATCTTGTTAGTATCAAGCCTAGGGTCTTGCTATTATTATGCTTTAACATGATTATTATGATTATGATTATTATTGTTATTTTCATGATTATTATTATAATTATTGTTTTTTAATTATTATTATGTTGCTTGATATTTATTTTTATTGCTTGACCACACCTTTTATGCATGTTTAAAGGGAATTGGTACTTGTAATCAAGCTTATATAAGATAATTAATAATCTTGTTTAGGGTTTATATGATTATAGTTCAAGTGATCGCCAATAATAGATTTATTTGTGCATTAATATTCAACCAACATAGATAAACAGGTTTAGGGTAATCCTATTGATTGCATGTTAGTCAGAAAGCGCACATGAATACGATCTGAAAAAAGTAGAGGCCTATTATTAGGGCAGGTTCAATCTCTTTTAGGTTGGATTTGTACCTTCATCCCCGAACCCTATTTGGTTCAAGACCTGATGGAGTTAACAATCTCTTGGATCGTTAAGGGGTGTAACTTTCACCTCGTGAACGGTTTACAAGTTCTTAAAAAAAACTTGTTGGCGACTCTTTTGCTCTATCTTCTTTCCCTTTGGACGCCACCGTACTTTACTGTATGATCACATTGGGGTTCAAGCTAGGGATTAACGCTTGAAATATTCCCTACAACTACTGAAAATTACCGTGCATGGTACGGGATCTAACCTATAGAGATCAATACTACTATACTAAAGTAATCACCGTGATTATCCTCTAATACATGTGTTGCATTCTCATTAATAAATTTCCCACCCAAAGTTTGTTACTCCGTATTATTTTTTTTTACAGTTTTCATTTTTTTCTTGGTTATCTTCTAAAAAAGTTTGTTATATTATTTTTGAATTTAAATATGAAGATTAGATATTGGTTTAAATTGGTATTATCTCTTTAATAATTAATAAAAATAAAACACTTTTGATAATAAAAAAAAATTGTTTGAGATTATCTTACGTAAATTATTAATAGATAAAATAAGTTTTGTTATTCTGAAATTTTAATAAGTACACGTGTTGTATTAACAACAAAAAAAATTCGCCAAGTTTTTTTATTTTTTTTCTTCAAAAATAATATGACGATGAATAGTTACAATAATTTACAAAAAAATACTCCCTCCGTCCCCGATTGATAGTCACTTTTGCTAAAAAATCACGGGAATTAAGGAGAAATAAAGAAAGTACATTGAAAAAGTATATTTACATTGGTTATGCAAATAAAATAGAGAGAGAAAGTAATTAAAGTACATGGGAAAGTAAAATTTACATGGGAAAGTTAAATTTGCACAAATATTTATGCAAATGTTAGAGAATTTTGGTAAAAAAAATAATATTAATGGTATTTGAAAAAAGCAAATGTGACTAACATTTTGAGTCACAAAAAATGGCAAAAGTGACAGTTAATCGGGGACGGAGGGAGTATATATTAAAAAGAGTTTTAAGATAGACATTACTTCTCATAAAAAAAAAGTACACATTACATGAATTCAATTTTTTTTTAAAAAAATGTTATATAACGCATTCCATTTAAACTTATGATTTACAAGTCTTAGGTCCTGTCCTTTTGAGCTTCTGGGCAGAGCAGAGCAGGGGTCAGCAGAGCAAAGCAGATTAAATTTCAGCAGAGCAGAGCAGATTTCAAGATAGCAGAGCAGAGCCGAGCCGAGCATATTTCAACATTATTATTATTATTATTATTATTATTATTATTATTATTATTATTATTATTATTATTATTATTATTATTATTATTATTATTTCTCAAAAACAAAAGTCATAAAACCTACAATAAATTAGTTTGAAGCCGAGATAGTCGGAAGCCGAGATACAATCTGGGCTCCCACTCCTCTATCTATAGCAAAATCTACCCTAGTAAAGATATGAGCTGCAGCACGCATCCCAATGTCTTGAGTATTCGAGAACTTCTGGATCCGCTTCAGCAATGCAACAACATTTTTTTCTAACTCCCCAAGAGAAGAGAAAGAGAACGGAAGGAAACCATATCCAATTGCTCGACAACTAGATTCGTACTTGATTCGATTCCGATTGGCCGCATCAGTCACTACCTGTCCAGGAACAAAGTTAGAAAGCCCAGAAGATTATTACTACTACTATTGTTATTATCATTATAATTATTATTACTACTACTATTATTATTACTACTATTATTATTACTATTATTAATGTTATTATTATTATTATTAATGTTGTTGTTATTATTATTATTATTATTATTATTATTATTATTATTATTATTATTAATGTTATTATTATTATTAATGTTGTTGTCATTGTTATTATTATTATTATTATTATTATTATTATTATTACTCCTACTACTATTATTATTACTATTATTAATGTTATTATTATTATTAATGTTGTTGTCGTTGTCATTGTCGTTGTCGTTGTTGTTGTTGTCGTTGTTGTTGTTGTTGTTGTTAATGTTGTTGTTGTTGTTGTTGTCGTTGTTGTTGTTAATGTTGTTGTTGTCGTTGTCGTTGTCGTTGTTGTTGTTGTCGTTGTTGTCGTTGTCGTTAATACTATTATTAATGTTATTATTATTATTATTAATGTTGTTGTCGTTATTATTATTATTATTATTATTATTATTATTATTATTATTATTATTATTATTATTATTATTATTATTATTATTATTACTTCCTCCGTTTTTATTTTATTGCACCATTTGGACTTTGACACTATTCACTTAATGTTCTTTGACCATCATTTGTGATTTATCCATTAGGAAAAATATAGTCATGAGAGATCTAGTTAGATTTGTCTTGAAATATTCTTTTCAAATATCAAATTTTTATAATTTTTACAAAAGTATAATAGAAGATATTAATAGCTAAAGTAATACATTGGCAAGCGTGAAATCCCTTATGGTGCAATAAAAAAAGAACGGAGGAAGTATTATTATTATTACTACTATTACTGTTACTATTACTATTACTACTATTATTACTATATATTACTATTAATATAACTATTACTATTACTATTATTATTACTATTATTAAGTGCATATACCATTGATTTAGGTGAGTGAAAACATAAATATATGTATACCATATTTAACATATATTAATATTAGAAAGATAAAAGACAACGGGTTACTTATATTTATTTCAAAAAAGTTTTAAAATAAAATGATTTAATGAGTAATAATGATTTTACTTATAAATAATAATGATATACAAAGTACTACTTGAAAACAACCTCTTTTTTTAATTCATAAATTGTATGGAAAGATTTGAAAAATAATTCAACTCAATGAATTAACAATCAATACCCACATACATAAAATGTTTCTACACATTGTCATTCTAATATCAAATGTTTATAAAAGAAATCGTTATTAATCGTTATTATTATTATTTATTTTTTTTGAAAGAATTGCTATTATTATTAGAAATTATTAATTAATAATATTATTAAATATTAATTCTTAATAGTTCAAATTATTAAATATTAATAACTATTATTATTAATTATTATTATGATTAATAAATATTAATTATTATTAATATTAATAATTATTAAAAAAAATTCAATATTAATAAATAGTATAATTATTCAAACTAATAAATTATTTTCATTAATACAATATTAATTGTTATTATTATTGAATATTAATTATTATTATTGTTATTATTAATTATTATTAGAAATTATTAATTAATAATATTATTAAATATTAATTCTTAATAGTTCAAATTATTAAATATTAATAACTATTATTATTAATTATTATTATGATTAATAAATATTAATTATTATTAATATTAATAATTATTAAAAAAAATTCAATATTAATAAATAGTATAATTATTCAAACTAATAAATTATTTTCATTAATACAATATTAATTGTTATTATTATTGAATATTAATTATTATTATTGTTATTATTAATTATTATTTGAAAATAGAGCAGAGCAGAGCAAATTTGATTTGAGCAGAGCAGGGCAGGGCAGAGTGGAGCAGAGCATCTCTAAAAAACGATACCTTATTATTATTATTATTATGTAACTGTGCTTGACACCGGAAAAAAACCTAGTTTGTTATATTACACACAACTATAGAAGTGCACACCAATTTTATAACTTGTTGCAATTAATCACAGGAGTAACTATTTGGGCCCGATTCCCTCAAATAATACCGGACCTCGAATCATAACTTCAACACTCCACAACAGCGAACAACCTCAACCGTCTTCAAACTCCCGCCACTCAACCACCGTAAACATGGCGGAGCAATGCTCCAAGCGCTCTAATCGAATTTTCAACAAACGGAAAACAATTCAGTATGAAGAAGAACAAACCCTAACCCTAAATCGATGTACTGTTCGAAGCGATTCTTCAGATTATAACCAATTTAAACCAATTCAATCATATTCGTATAAGCGCCATTCGGAGTGGAAAACCACCAGGCGGCTGGATTCTACAAATATGAATGTTTTTCGTAAATGGACTTATTCGGATTGCGAATCCTCTGATTATAAAGGTAATTATGGAGTTTTATGATTATAATTATTTTGATTTTGTTCTAATGTTCAGAATGTTGCACTTTTTTTCATGGATTTTGTGGGTTGAATTTAATTTTTAGCTGTATAGTAGCATAAATTAGATGGTGCACTCGGATGCGCTAGCTCATGGTACACTCGGTCAAAACCGACTATCTCAATAAAAAAAAGTGCTCGTCTTTATATATATACGTAGTATACTACTTCAGTATTACAAAGAATATGGATTGTTTTTGATTGAACCAAGCATTGGGATAGTAGAACTTTCATTATAAAAGTAAAGAGGCGAATTTTTTGTCATGTTGAATTCGTTTAAACATTAATACTATATGATATAAAAACCGATTAACCGAAACCGTTAAACAATCTATATCATATAGTCCACATCTTTCTTTTTCTTTGCTTATTGTGGACATGCCATGCATTAGATATTTTTAATTAGCATTGGATGCAATGTGGATTTTCTGGATGTATATAACGGGCCTAATATATAGTTAAGAAAGCGAGGCGGACAAACCTCGCAAGCGTGGGCTGCAGTTGTAATCTTGCTGCTTGTAGTTATGCTGTTGCACAGTGTGATAGTTCTGCTGCAGGTTTTCAATTAGTTTTGGTCCTTTGCAGTTGTGATCATAAGAATTGTTGTGATCTTAAGGTTTGTTAGGTGGCCTTATTTATTAACTGGTCTTAACCATCGGTCCTTTACTTTGACAAGACTCGTGAGTTGGTTTATGTATCTACATTATGTCTAGGTTGTTTTACTAACTTTAGTATTATTTTGGTTTATGTATCTACAGTATGATGGTGTTCAATCCGCTAATTTTAATCCAGGTTGTTTTACTAACTTTAGGATTATTTTTGTTGCTCTGTAATACTTGAATTGTTGCAGTGAGCTGACACTAGGTTTTGTTGCAGTGAGCTAATTTTAATCCAGGTTGTTTTACTATACTAGGTTTTGTTGAAGTGAATTGTTTTACTAACTTTAGGTTTTTTTGTCAACCCTATACAAAGAGAGGTCTCGAGTTATAAATTTCCATGCCCTTAAGTCATCTACAAGTCTCCTTTAAAAAAAAAGGGTCTTGAGCTATTTTAGTTCTTCCTTGATCTATTAATACTTTATTGAGAGGACTGGCATTGTATGTGTCTTCTATTATGCTTCTCTATAAATTATAAGCTTTTGTGATTCTTCATCCAATTTTATATTTTGAGTTGGCTCTGAAATGAGACTTTGTTGTTGTTGTTGATTTTGAATTGAGAGGCAACTGTTTAGACTTTGGTTCTGATTACAGTTTCTCTCTCTTTGTTTTTTTTTTATTTTTTATTTTTTATTATTACTTTACAGATAAGATTGTCCTCGTAACATACAACATTTTAGGCGTTGAGAATGCATCAAAGCATCCCCATTTATATTTCAGGGTTCCATTTAAGTACATGAAATGGGAGCACCGGAGGGAAGCTATACGCAAAGAGTTAGCTCGATATGGTCCTAGCATAATTTGTTTTCAGGCAAGTCCAGTGTTTCTTGTTTCCTTCTCTGAATATTGTGCTTTTTGTATATATTATGATTTCAAAGAAGATTAGGTGTATGGTGTGATGAAGAAGTTGTGATTTCTGCTCTTTTTGAGGAAAATATCTTAACTATTTGTTTTGCAAGATTAATGTACTAACTATTGACCCTTTTCAATTCGCAAAAAAAGAATAATAAAAAATATGCTTTTCCCAAGTCTCTTTAATATTTGTCATCACATGTCCTTTTCAGGTTTCATTGGCTCTATGGAAATTTAGATTGCTTATTCTTTTATTTTTGCATCTTTGCATGTGACTGTAGGAAGTAGATTGTTATAGTGATTTACATGATGCCCTCCAACAGGATGGATTTGAAGGTGTTTTAAAGGTATCAATTGTTTACCTTTTATCAAGTTGCCTTTAGAGTGATATCTTGACTAAACTTTCTTTCTTTTGCTGCCGTAGGCTCGCACTGGCGATGCTCAGGATGGATGTGCGATATTTTGGAATCATGAACGGTAATAATTTTTATGTCTAGCTAACGTAAACTTGCTAAAAAAAACTTGCTAAAATGATATTTTAATAGGCATCTGACTGATCTGAGTGAATGAGTTTTTCTCCACACAAAATCTTTAACCTCACCATAACTACCATTCCCTGTGCAACGCAAAACCACCACCTCCATGGCTCCATTGGCCACTTGCCCACCACTTAAAAAGAAAAGTTACATCAGAGGGAGGGAAGGGCGGTTTTTAGATTAAATAAAGAAACTAGAAAACAGGGAGGCAGCAGTGAAGAAGAAGTGGTATGTCATCATCCATGGAAGCAGTAAAAGAAAAGCTTGCTAAGTTGCTATTGTTTCTGCCTGTGTAGTTGGAGTTGGCCAGCACTGCTAGAGCTATACATCTTGGATCACCAAAATATATTTTTGGGATGGTGGTTGTTGATGCAAGATTGTAGCGGTGATTGTAAATACACAAGGCATTGTTGGTGGTGATATGAGAAGTTGGTCACGGTGCTGTATTGTAACACCCCAATAATTCTCTCTTAAAACCCTGTGAATAACCTGAACAATTCTAAGAGAATTACTGGCGTGCTACCGCTACGTCTTCAAACGTTAAGGTTTTTTTCAGAAAATAGTATCGGAAAAACTAAAATAAATATATATAAGTTTCAAAACCAATAACCAAAACCAAATTAAATTTTACAACTTGGAACCTTTAAGGCCCTTATTCAAAACTGAAACCAATCTATGTTACTCGGACTCGGGTACCCATGTCCGACACGGGTATGTATCCAAGTGTCCGACTCGGCTATTTTGTGAAAAAATTCTATGATTTTGAACTAAAATGAAGTGTCCGAGTGTCATACCCATGTCCGAGTGTCGAGGGTCCGACACGGGTAGTTGAGGTAAAACAAAGAGTCCGAGTAACATAGAAACAAATAGAAATAGTATAAAAGCGAAGTTGAGTTTAAATAACTTTAATTGTAAATAGTAAATAAAATAAGAAAAGCAACCAACTCTTCACTCAAGATCCCACCATCTAGAAATAGATGCTACATATGTAAGAACCTGTGGTTAATCTGCTCCCCAATATTACAAGTGTAAAAATTGGATCGTCAATTGAAAGGCGAAGGCCATGACCAAAGAAAGACACACACAAAAGCACGTAATCAGCAAAGCTGAGTATATACAAGCTGCGAAATAAATTAAGAAATACCTAACATGCTACTATTAATCAAGCATAAGCATCATTAAATTACAGACTTAACACATGACTCAATTATCAAATTTACTAAGACCTCACTAGTTGATATTGACCAACACATTTATTTATTTCATTGGATTTAGCAATAGACAAGGTTGTCCAACCCATGTCCCATTTGGAATATTAATAAAAGAAAAACCCCATGCCTCCTTTCGATAAACATCCAACAACCAAGGGCGCGACTCCGTGACCGTAGTTAGTATGAGATCTCACCTAACTCCTAGTTTTAAAAAATAATATTTGAAATAGGAGACTCGTACATCAGACGGCCTCGATAAAAGTACACGACTAATACCCCGTGTACCCCAACCCGTGATTGTCATTACTCCAGAAGTGCACCAATCCAGAGTTTTATTGCTCATCCATCTTGCACTTTACGTGATTTACAGGTTTAGACTTGGTGATGACTCATATGTAAACAATACAAACATTCCAAACATAATTCAATCAAATAAGGCAAGTTTCTAATTTAAATTCTTGATTTATTAGTGACAAACAACATTTATTATTTATTCCTTTACTACCTCGGTGTATAAACACCTTGAGTGCATAAGGCCCCCCAAAACCTTAACCTCGTCTTATAAGATTTGAATTCCTCCTTTACTCATCCTGTTCGCATAATCATGAATGAGTAATAATTTAATCTTTACACCAATCACATACCTTTGTCTTTAAGCGCACCTTGCATAATTAGAGCACAAATAATACTTGCATTATAAACTAGTGCACATCATTTGAAATTCACAGTGTATAACCAAACAATTTAACCCAGTCAATCCTATACATGATACTAAGTTCTCGATCCGTCCTTAAACATGCACCTACAAGCAAGGTTTCGTAACTTGTACGTACCTTGAATAAACGAATTGGTATGTCACTTAACCAACTAGAAATCACCTCTTATAAAGTCCTCTCCTAAACCAAACAATAAGATTTCAATCAATACCCAAACAACCAAATTTACAGCAATACTAACTTACTTTAAAACCTTCAAAATCCAATTAAACAACACTTTAAAACCTTCCCTTTAGTTAAAATTATAGGCTTATATATAGTTATTTATATTTCCTTCATAAAAACCTTAAAATACATCATTATACATGAAATTACAGCAAGTTTCAAACTTTATAAAAATCTGAAAATTTATTTATAATCAAAATAATTGAACTTTAACACAATTTAAACATAATATGATCATGTAACTTGATTAACACATTTTAAGCCCTAAAACCATGAAAAATCAAGTTTTAAACCCTTATTTTCTAAATTACACAAATCTGAAAATTTATTCAATAGTGTAAACATAATATAACTCATAAAAATTTAGTCTTTTAGAGTGATAAACACTATTAAGCAACAATAATAACAATTCGAAAACCAAAATTAAATAAAGATTAAAGCTTGGAATAAATTTAATCAAAAGAAAAGGAAGAAGTAAAGAGAGAGAGAAGCAAACGTGGGCTGGTTAGGCGGTGGACGGTGGCGGCAGCAAGGAGTCGCCGGTGGAGCCGTGGTGGTGCGTTGGTGGCTGCGATGGCAGCAGCTTCAATATTTTTTTTTTTGGTTGAGTGCGTGAAACAGGGGAGTAGTAGCAGCAATATTTTGGGTGGAGGAATGTTTCTGTGTGAGTAAAATAAAGGGGGAATAAGGTGCAAGGCTTTTTAAATAACAATGGGCTAAAAGGGTTCTTCATCCTAATGGAGTTAAGACTTTTATTTGGGCCACAATTGGATGGTTACAAAGAGATAGGCTTAATTCACTTGAAATTGGACCACTATTATTATAACAACATAAGAAGATAATTTTTTTTTATTAAAATAGTGCTTATTAATTTAATAAAGTTCAAATTAATTTCCTATAAAATAATTTATACAATAAAATCAAAATAAAATATTCGTATACGTAATAAATAAATATAATATTAATTTACTCAAAAATAAGGGGGATTACATGTATTGTTTGAAGAAGGCAACAAGCATTGTTGATGTCAGATAGTTGTGGTTGATGGTAGGTGAATTAGGGTTGAAAGATATTATTGTTGGCTGTGCTCAGAGGTAGAGAGAGAATAGATGATGAAGCTTTTAATGCAGAGGGATGGATGTTGAAGGATCTTTGTACGAAGGAATGAGTTCTTATTATCTGGGGAACACCTTGTTCTGTTTTTCTTTTTTCCTGTCTCTGCTGTCTAGTATTCCTTTGCACTTGTTTTCGCTCATTGAGATTCTTGAGGGTTTCGCTAAGAATCCAGAGACTTATGAGAGGGGCTTCTGTGGTAATTTTGAGGGAAAGGAGAGACCTTTTGTTGTTGGGGGTGTGGGGACTTTGGACTTAGTATGTAGACTAAGAAGTAAAGGACTTGGGTCTTGGCAATTTGTCATTCAGAAAAGTTTATATGGAAAGGAAGTGGCTTTGGCTTTTAACTTTTTAACTGAAATCCTTGGATTACTGAATGAGCATGAGCACACATGATCTTTAAAGGAACTGATCGGAAGGTTGCAGATATGTTTGCCAGAGTGTGTGAAAGTTTGTGTCCTAGATGCTGTCTTATATATCTCCTCCATCCTCTCTTTGCATTTGCAGTGATTTTATTTATTTATTTATTTATTTTTTATTTTTTTTGGCCCTTCTGTCTGTTTATCCCCTTGTATTGTTTTCAGCTTCCTAAATTAAAAGCTTAAATCTTTTAGTTATAATGGAAAAAGGTGTTCCTTAGTAATGCCTGAGAAGTGAAGGCTTATAGAAAAATTCTCCAAGATGCTGAGTTTGTCTTTTGCACCATCTTGTCCTTTTAGATTTCTGGGGAAAGAAATTGTATGGAGATTATTATATAATTAGTCTTTCACTCTTGGAGTTCTGTTCTTTATTCAAATATCTGTTATATAAAAATTCCAGATGGTAACTGTACAGGTTTAGCTCACTTCTGATTAGTCATTTTGAGTGCAGCTGTAATTCCCTAAGAACTTACTTATCATAATGATGGTTTCTGCCTGCTTGATTTTTTTCTGGGTTTACTGATTCTTTTGTCTGACTGAAGTTATTCTATGCTTTGGGCACAGGTTTAATCTTCTGCATGAGGAAAGCATTGAATTTCAAAGCTTTGATTTGCGTAACAATGTTGCACAATTCTGTGTCCTGAAGGTATGTTAATCAGTTGATCCCATGATGTACACAGTATGTTCATACTGTAGCTAAAACTATGATGTTACATGTTTTTAACTTTTCAAATCATATAGTTTTGTTCCTGGTTTTTTAGTGAGTTTTTATTTTTTTTTTATTTTTTATATGCTTGTTAAAGAGCTGTTTATATTTCATAATATGGGATATAAGGTACCTTTGCTTCATGTTATTTGGTTTAGCTATATATACTTGCCTAATATGTGTGTAGAATTGTACCATCTAAAATTATAGGTCTTATCTAGAATTACCTAAGACTTAGAGGACTACGTATAATGTACAGTCGTACAGAGGACATAATTATTGACTGGAGACTGAGAGAACCAGGGAAAAACAGGGGAACAAAGAGTTAGAATGAGAGGCATGTGCTGATAGAGAAAATTTGACACTGTTCGATAGGTCATCGAATGTCATTGATAATGAGATGGTGTTATCTAGGGCTGCGAAGCTCGGACTCGGCCAACCACCCCACCGTACTGGTGTCGACATGACGCGACCCGGGTGCGGACACGGAATCCGGGTCGGACGCTTGGGAGAAAAAGTGGACTCGTCAGTCATAAACCCTAGATCTAAAATAGAAGGTCGGATTCACCAAAACAAGAGTCGAAATCTTAGGGCTTTTGATTGGAAGGGAAAGACGAGCAGGCCAGCACCAAGAAGTTGCCGGTTTTCTTAGCCGGCGACGGGAGGCTGGGTTGTTCTGGTTCTTCGACATTTTCAAGTTGCAATTTCTGTTTTCTTTTTTCTTTTTTTTTTTATAATTGTGGAGGTGGGGGTAGGTGGGGAAAAGTACTTACTTTTTAGTGGGGATATAATCACGTGTCCTCTAACTCCTCTTTACCAGGTTTACCTTTTCTTTTTTCCCTTTTCGTTTATCTTTATTTTAATCTGAACAATAAATGTACTTTGACTTTTCTCTCTTACTGTGTTTTTTTTTTCCTGCCAGGTACAGTACTAAACAAAAAATTTAAAATAAAATCAAAAAATCATTGAATAATTAACTATTTTTTTATTATTGTAGTATATTTTTTTTTGCATTTCCGTGTCCCCGAGTCCAAATCCAAAATTTGGACTCTTTAAAAACGTGTCCCCGGATCCTTAATTTTAGAATTTTCCGAGTCCGACTCTTTGACCCATACCCGAGTCCGACACCCGTACCCGAGTCCGTGTATCCTAGATCTAGGGTATTGGAATTCTCTCTGCATTATGTAATGGACTTGGTAGATGGGCCACCCAAGCTACCGATACGCTCCAAATATCAGAGAAGGGGAAAGAAAAGCAAACAAGCTGAGCAATCAACCACATCACAGGAGGAGGAAACACAGTTGGCACAAGAAAAACCAAATTAATATTTCGAAGAGGAGCAATACCAAATAGTGGAGACATGGAATAGCAGTGTTATAGAGAAGGAGATAAGATTAATTAACCTCAGTTAGCCTTTTTGCAGTCTTTGCCTTTGTATATATTAAGGAATGTGTGGAGGTAGGAAATCATGTGATTAGACTTGTGTAGTTTGAGAATAGTAACCTCAAGTTACTTTCTAGGAGAGTTGTAACCTAAACTTACTAGACATTCAATCAATCCACTGCCTTTTGCTAGCTCAAATTCTTGTTCTTTTTCTTGTATTTGGTTATTTACATTTGTGTGTGTTGGGTCTCTCACACATTATGTTGTTAATTACTTTATCTCTTTCAAGTTGACTTGCACCACTTCTCTTAACTGGAAATCTCAGAATATATGCAACCTATCACACATATGGTTTGTTTCATACTTTCCTTGCACACAATTACAATGTTTCCCTTATTATATCAACTAAATATGACAACTCTACCCATCAATAAATGCTTTCTCCACCTTGTACCATTTTATAGGTCTTCTTTGGCTCTTCCATAATCCCCTTTCATCCTCATCTATTAGCCAACACAAGTTCCTGGTGGCAACTCCTCTTTCTCCTCCCGAATATGACTTCATTTTTCCTTTCCCTTTCTTCCTCTTCTTCTCTGGCTTCTTCTTTTGAAGTATTCAATGATATAATTCTCCGAGTTGTTTCTTTCTGATACCGTGTTTCGATTCCTCTCCTGCATCTTTTTCTTCCTCTTTTACTGAAGATGCAATATTTTCTCACTCAATATAAAATCTGCTCAGTTGAACTTTCTGATGAACTTTATGTGTGCTATTTTAAAAAATTTGATTTTATCTGGAATTATTAGGGACCTTTGTTTACTTGGTCTAATTAATTAGGTTAGGGCTGTGGGATATTATGGTGATGTGTTTCTGGTTGTAGTCTAGTCTCTCCTCTCTTGCTAGTTTGTTTGGGCTGATGCATGTTGTTGGTGATGGGTTTACATTGTGGTGGTATTGGGGTTGCATTTTTTTTTTAGGTGGTGGCCACAGGCTAATGGTTGGCTTGCTTTGGTGAGTTGGCAGGGTAGATGATGGCTGGGTGATTTGTCGGTGGTGGTTGGCGGATAGTGGTGGTTCCCATAGGCTGGCAGAGTAGCAGGGATGATTGGGGCTTGGTAGTCAAGGTCAGCAGAGAGCGGGCGGTGGTCAGGCAGTGGGAAAAGGAAGAAAGGTAGGGTTGAGTTAGTGCTTAAGCAATTAATTTGCTAATAGAATTACAGTTCTAGACAAAGGACTTTTTTTATATAGATGTACTCGATAAAAAAACTAGATTATGCAATGATAAAACTAAAAATAAAATTGAATATTTGCAAAAAAAGGAATTAAAATTGGTACATTAAAAAAATACCAAAAAAGATAAGAGGAGTTCGCCCGCCCCCTATATATATGATACCCTCACCTACAAAAAAGCTTGGAAAACCAAAACCATTCGGAATTCCATAAAGTATTCGTTCTATCAAAAAACCTTTGTTAATTGTCTGTTTACCATTCTCTTTCCTATGCCTCAATCAGTGTGTCAAGCCCTTTGGTTGCAAGTATTTTGAAACATAAGAAGTACTCGTGTTGCTTAGATTGATAGTTAGCTGGTGCTTTTTTTGTAAGGCCATTTGCATTTTCCTTAACAGGAAAGGATTTTTTGGATCAACGGTGTGCTTATCATTAGTTTACTTTACCTTTACAAGTAACTGTGGAAGCCATCAACTTTGAGTCTCTTCCTCTCAGTTTTATGGGAAACACCATATACGTTTTTTAGTCTTAGGGATGTGGAAAATGGGGAGATGATATCGAATCAACTCAATCAAGCTATTTCATTACATAATGAACATTCTGTAAAAAATGTGCTGTTCAACAGAAATTGGTTTTATAACATGTGTTTTTAAAGTATTACTTGCATCCGTTTGGACTATCAAATTTGCCACGTTAGCCTTTATGAGCCACTATTATAACCATGGTTTATTGTAATCAGTAATTTTTAAAAATAAAATTGTCCTTATATCTAAAACGCCTTATTTCAAATTTAACTAGATAAAATTTTAGAAGTTACTTCTTCCTTTCTTCTATATGAAACACTTTGGTTATTATAGTATTCATATACTCTACTTTCACCATTTTTGGTGATTTATGCTAAAAAAAAAAAGAAAAAAAAAATGTTACGTGGGATCTTATTAAATTCGTCTTTTTTTTTTTCTTTTTTTTTTTTTATATATATATTTTATAAAATTTTTGAATTTATATTTTATAATTATTTTTACTTGCTGATAAAAATTCAGCTAAAACTGTAAGCTGCTTTTATCATTCATTCCTTCTCCCTTTGCACCCTTTTGATCCATATGGTTTGCCTCCAATTGGAGGAAAGATGTGTGTTTTGGGGGGTGGGAAGGGGGATAATCTTTTGTTATTATACGTATGTCTTTGTTTCTTCCTGTTGTTCTGAACTTTTAGCTGACAGCAATTTTCATCATTTTTGTAGTGGATGAAACTATAGTCCAATTAATAGACTTTTGATCTTTTGTCACAGATGAATGCTGATTCATTGAATCCTAAATCAAAGATGTCAAAGCCAACGTAAGTCCTGTATGTATCAAGTGGTATATATTCTCTCGAAATTTATGGTTTTAGGACATTAGGTGGTTGGCATCGCGAGGTGATGACTTTTCTGACGAGTTGCAGAATTCTATGAAGTTAAATATAATGTTAGAAAGCACAATTACTCTGCTCCTATGTTAGGAACAGTATGTTAGTCGAAGCAATTAGTTACCTTTATGGATCCTTTTCTGGATTCTTTGGCCTGAGAGTGGGGAGACGTACGGAGATTGGTTTTGGGGTGAGAGCGGCATTACACTGGAAAAGGAAAATGTTTTAATAGTATGTAAATTTTAGAAGTGCTTTTGTTAAGCTACAACATATTTGTATGCCAATTAGTTTTCAGTACAAATGGTATCTTCAAATTACACCAACTATACATGTGGTGATAATCAATGTCTACAGTCTACTACAGGCTATAGTGTAAGCTTCATTATGTATTGCTCCAACATAAATTTAGAATCACTGATTTTGGATTTGGATATTTTCAGATTAAATTTACAAGAAAGTTAAATTTGAAGCCTTGGGAAATTCCTTTTAACTACTGCCCTCTTTCTTCTATGTGCCTGTCACTCCCCTAAAAAATCTACTTTATGAGAGAAGATTTTCCTTTTGATTCTCATGTCAATCACTTGAATGACAGTTGCAGATAATATGGAGGGAGTCTTCATTGCTGAATTATAATTTTAAAAAATATGTAAAATAATACATCATGTAACCAATTTGAGCATTGTTTGTATTCCAGTCGTCAACTTGTGGACTTCTCCATCACAATTCTTAATTTTAAGAAGGATCCTCATAGGTTGGCATAATTTAGGAGTAGTTTGTAACTTTGTACATTCATGCTGTCACACGGACACTTCTTCTTTTTTTTCTTCCCCCCCCCCCCCCCCCTCTCCCCCTTTTATTTTATGTCAGCACAATTATAGATACTTTGTACGTTTTAATATTATACGAGTCTGTAAGCAAAAAAATTAATGTATCTACCACGATGCTACATGTAGAAGTCTGGTTGTTGGAAATATACACGTTCTTTTCAACCCAAATCGAGGGGACATCCAGCTGGGACAGGTATTGCATATAATAAATTATGAATGATATAGTTACTTCAGGCTTTGTCAAATTTGTTTCTATTTTGTCTATAGACACAATTGACATACCCTTCAAAACAACTTCGACAGATACGTCTGTTTCTGGATAGGGCCCACAGATTATCTGAAGAATGGGGTGGGATCCCTGTTGTGCTTGGTGGTGATTTTAATAGTGTCCCTCAGGTATTCCTGCTGTTACAGTTTCAAAAGTTGGCTGAGTTTCACAATTATTTGTCTTATAAAATTATTTTTGCTTACAGAGTGCTGCGTATCAGTATATATCCTCCGCAAAGGTAAACATATAGTCTTTCATGATAAGCTATCCTTAATTGTTTATATTCTTATACATGTACGTCTTGTTTGCAGTTGGATCTTTTACAACAAGACAGAAAACGTGTATCTGGGCAGATTCAGATGCCATCCTGTCACTCTTTTTCACCTAAGGGGCCATTCAGGTATTTCTTCAAATTCATATTGTCTTCATTGGTTGTTAATAGCACATGCGGCTTGCTGTCCTCCATTCCCCCTTTTGCCCTCACCTTTTCCATGTGAATAAATCTATGATCTATTCTTGCCTTCTTGGCATTTTGAAGACTTTTGATTTGCATATTTATCCTAGCGATTGTCTGCAAGACTTTTACTGAATGATATGCAATATCTTAAAGTCATGTATTATTGTTTGTGGAAGCACTTTGTATGTTTTATTTGAATAAATCTTTCTATCCTCTGTCATGCACAAGATTGCCTTGAACAAACACTGGGTTATTTTGATTTGAGGATAATGAAAAATGAAGTGGAGTTGCAACTCTTGTTAGTCATTTAAAAAAGTGTTTAATTGAAAAGGATGTGAATGGTTGATGGTTTCTCAATAATTCTCATTATATCCTTAGAGTGATGAGTTAGATTTGAGAATTGATGCTTTTGGTTTCTTGGGAGGACTAAAGTTGGATTGTTAATTGAGTGATAGAATTCCTGGAAATTTACCTTTTCCTTATTTTTCTCCTTTAAAAGTATGCAATTCATCTCACATGACTATTTCATAGTTCTGATATTTTATTGAAGGACATCTTTAAGGGGATGATTTAAGTAAGAGCACAAAGCCTTGGTACAATAATGCTACTGATATCTAATTGTGTGACCAAAAGAGAGGGGAGGGGGGGGGGGGTGAGGTGCTCGTTGAATCATTTAGTTGTGTCATGGTAATAAATACTTATAAACCTTTATGCTATACATCATTAACACCCAATGTGACAAGCCGAAATAAAAAATTCTCACAGAAATCAAGAACCTTATTTTAAAATTGGATTTTTCTATAATTATTGTGAAAAAAGGCTGATGTGACAAAGTTATTTATTTATTTATTTATTAATAAAGTTTAGTATTGAAGAAATACTTAAAAGCGTCAAAAAAAAAAAATAGAGGCAGTATAATTATATCCCTTGATTTCGGGATTACCTCTTAAAATTCAGAGTTTCATACTATGTTTCATATTACCATATTTTTGGATCACAGGGAGACTCCTTTATTGAATACTTCTAGTAAATTAAGAAATTATATTTTCAGTCTCCTTTTTCTTTAGGACTTCTTGGCTGAATATGTTTGGAAATATGTTGCTGTACATTTTGAATATACCCTCATACTTGTGTGAATTTTCCTCGAGCTTGAATTGAGACCTGATTACTCTCCTTTTTATTTTTTATTTTATATATATTTAGGGTTGAGATCCAATGAAAAGGACCTTAAAATGAGAAGTATGAGAAGGAACAAATGTGCATATATTTTATACTAAATGTGCATTTTTTTATGTTGAATGTGCATAATTGTGTTTCAAACTGATAAATTTTTTTAATTTTCTGGAAAAAACGAAAATTATGCACATTTGTTCAAAAAATATGCACATTAAATTTGAGTCAAATTTTTTTTTGCACATTTAGTTCAAAAAATATGCACATTTAGTACAAAATTATGCACAAAAAATCCTTCTCATCTCATTTTAAGGAACTTCTCATTTGACCCTAAATATATTTATTTGATGATGATGATGCTTATAGCAGGATTTTAATCTTAATTTTTGGTGGGAATTTTAACCGTTGGAAAGTTAAGTGATGGCCTAACTATCCTTCCACCTCCTTTGTATCTACCTTACAACTTCATACTCTACGGCCACAAACCTCTTAATGCTATGCACAGTTCACCAAAGTATAAGATGCAGCTAATTTACATTTCTTTTTGACACAGTTTATTGATATTTAAAAGTGTATGAGATATGAAAGTAGACTTTGTGATAAATACAACTGCTTGAAGTAGGTTCTTATTTATAATCAAATTTTCCCTTTGGTTCTGATCAAGGAATGGGAGGCAAAAGCCATCGATATGTAGATGGACTGATGAAGAATTAAAATTTGCTACTGGGAGTGAGGAAGTCACTTGTCTGCAGCATAGCCTAAAACTCCGCAGTGCATATCATGGTGTTCCTGTAAGACGGTCTTAGATCTCAAAGATCTTTCACATTGCTATGGTCTGTTGTTTAGACATATCAATCTGGGTTTTCATTGTATTGCCTGATGTTTGGTAAATTATTTGGTCAGGGGAGTGTCACAACAAGAGATAATATTGGAGAACCTTTGGCAACATCATTTCATTGTAATTTCATGGGAACTGTTGATTACATATGGTAAGAAAACCTTAATGATTAAATCAGCATGGATTTGAACTTAAAGAGGAACTGATATCTATTTGTTGCTTCCTGTAGGCACAGTGACCAACTTGTTCCTGTCAGGGTCCTTGAAACCCTGCCTATAAATGCATTGGAAAAATTGGGAGGGCTTCCGAGTAAGGTACTTCTAGTTATAGCCTAAAAGCTGTTCTTGTGTTTATAATATTTCATAGTCCCTCTGTTGTGGTTGATAAAGGTCTTCCTGCTTTGAAAAGGATTGCTTGATCAAAGTAATATGTTTCGTTATAGACTGGCACAGGTCTATTTTAAGTACTCTTGAATTATGCTATCAATAACTGAGTGCCTTTGTGAAGGAATATAACCTTACATGATTAGGTTGATTATATAGATCATGAAAATAATTTCTCCCTTTACTGATTTGAAACTCAGAATTGAAATAGCTTTTCGATGCATCCTGTAGCTGGCTATCCAGCTCTGAGAGTTGTTACAAACAATTTTTGTCACTAATATGCATCAGCCCCATGTTCCTTTTGATAGACCTATAACTTGGTATTTAACCTCTGCACGTAGATCTTTAAAGAAAAACACTATAGTTACTTTTCAGTTGTCACATGGTATTGGAACCTGGGTTTAACAACATCAATAGCTTAACTAATGTGGTTTATGCATCAGCTCCGAGCTCCGTTTGTTAGATCTATAGCTCTTGTTGGATATGTTTCTCTGCCGTTTCATTACATAATTTTTGTTCTAAAGGATTTTGAATTCTCATTTCACAAATTGCCATTTCCTAGTCTGTGTTTTGAATATATACTATGATATTGGTCATAAATTTACTTTTTACCATTGAGGATCATTCCTCTTTAATAACTGTACCACATATCCCACACTTTCCTCCTTTTATTCGAACCATGTATATTTCTAAGAGCAGAGTTTACAAACTTGACAATAGAAGAATATGCCTACTGGCTACCTGATTGACCATACATCCACAAAATTTGTCATCATTGGCATATAATTTAAATTGAGAATTAGTTCTCTTTAACTTAGAAACTTATTATTTATTCTTGTCAGAAGCACACCAGATTAAACTAGACTAGATTTATTTATTTTTTGATAATTGTTTACTTGTTACCAAACATCTCTAATTGTGTGCTACTATAAATTATATTCTAGTGTAAAATTACGGTCAAAGTTTCTTTTTTAATTTCTGTTTACTTATTATTCAATACATTTAATTGTGTATAATAATAAATAAGTGTAAAAATATGGTCAAAATTTAGTCAGACTATTTTCATACTAAAATACCAAGCAATGCTTGGTCTGGTGAGAAAGTTTGCATCTCACTACTATGAGGTTGATCAAACCTACCTAGAGGCACTCTGGGGTGAAATTCCCTTAAACTCCCCCCTCCCCCACTCCTAAAGGGTCTAAGCTTGCAAACCCGGGCCGGGTTGAATTGCAAGAGTTTTCAGGGTAGGGCCCTTCTCCTTACCTTCCAAAAAAAAAAACAAAAAAAAGTCACTCTGGAACACTTAAAAGATAGATTATAAAATCACTCTGGAACACGCTCTGAATACCTTGATTCGATGGATCTTTTTGCCAGGTTTATTTGTTTTCTTGCCTTCCTGTTTTCACAGCAGTCACAGCCCATAGTTTAATTGCCTTCGTCATATGTTATGAACTTCCAATGCAGTAGAAGCTGCAAATTTAGAAATTGGGACCATGAGGGAATAGCATGGATTGGTGACTCAGGGTTTTTAGTTTATAGAGCAAGGGTTTATGAGTTGGATCTTATCTCTATCAATAGCAGATTTAAATCAAACTATGAGTTAACCCTCTTGTTAGAATAAATCAGGCTTAGTAGAAAAACTCTACACTCTTAATAATGTACTCCCTCCGTCTCCTTTCTAAAGTTAAGTTTGAAATTTTACGTGGGTATTAAAACAAATGTTTGGGAGTAGGTAAAATGGGAATATATAATTTGAGAGTAGCTAAATACTTCGGTAAACGGAAATTTTTGCTTTAGGAGTTGGTAAATATTTTGGTAAATGGGAAAAGTTGCTTTGGGATTATGTAAATTTTTTGGCAAATGAGAATAGCTGCATTGGAAATAGGTAAATATGAGGGTGTGTAGATTTTTTGTTGGAAGTTGAAACGTAACCATAGAAAGGAATCGCTAAAAATGGAAAAAAAGAGGTGGAGGGAGTAGCTTATTAGAAACTTTATGGATGTACACCCACCACATAGGATTTGTTCCTCCCTTTCTCTGTTTCTATTTCAGTTTCTTTAATTTGAAGCTGTTGGTATTGTTTTCCATTTATTCAAACCAGAGCAACAGAGGAAAGGCTTACTCTTTGAGATGCCAGCTGATTATATAAGAAGTAAATAATATACCCCTTGTGCTGCTCTTGTTGTTGCAATATCAGATAGGTCACTTGCTAACTGAAAATTTCAAGATAAATCCAGCACTCTGCGCTTATTGTGCCTAGAACTGCAGATTTTGGAGTATGGTGTTGTGAGGATTATATTTGTTGGGCTTGAGGAATTGGTGCAGAGGACAGGTCACTTTCCAATTGAGCATTCTTGATTAAATTGTTTTTTTTTTTTTTTGGACAACGGGTAAAAGGAGGCTAGCTCCCAACAGACTCGACGCAAGAATTAAAACTACAAACAAACTTGGACCTCTTCGCAGAGTTAGTAAAAACAGAAAACATCCAAGAAATAGGGGGACTACTAACATGATCATCTAAGAGGGGGGATACAATGAGATTGACTAATTCCAGTATGGATGTTAGACATGAGATACTCGAGGTTTGATCCTTAACGTTTTCTTGTCCTGCAAAACTGATTCCTATGATGAGAAACAGCTGGCTTCTTCCTCTTCCTCTTCCTCTTCTTCACATGCGGCCTACCCAACGTTCTATTCTTCAAATTGTTGGAGTTAAAAATGAAGGTAACGGGGGTAGGGATGAGTGGCTCCTCCAATTCCACTTCTAAACCCATGGGATCATCCTTATTAGATCCTACCGACTCCATTTCAGCTTGATCAGTAATGTGGAAGTCGTTTATAAGAGTTTTGATACTATTCTCGATGCATGTGGATGCATTGCTGTAGTTAGTGGTGCTTGAGTGTATGTGATCACCTGATTTTTCAAATTGATTAAATTGTTCTCTCTACCCAGAACAGCTAGTTTGAGAGTGATATGGGACTTTGGGTAGCTGAACTTAAATATGTGATGACTCATGAGGATAGTCTAACTTCATAAGTACTGGCCCCATTGCTATAATCGCTAGCAGTTGAGGTTTGGATTCCCTCTTAATGCTTTCTCGCAATTGAAGTCGCTTAAAAGACTTGGCTTAACTTCCCTACTAACATGTAACTAAAGATGGTTGTGGGTCATGCTGAGCCCATGTGCTTGCAGTTAGCTAAGCCCGAAGCACAAGCTACATGCCTTGCCAAATTTTTCAAAAGGTCATCCCATGCATGGCCCAAGCCCATGAGCCACAGTGCCATGCTTGCGTAAAGTAGGATCACTATGATTGTTGATGGGTAATAGAGTAGAGGATCTGCAATATAATTTAAGAACCTACATAAGATTGTAATTTATAAGAGAAAAATCTTAGTGAAGCTGTTAAACTGGAAGTACTCCAACCTCTGTCTTAGAATAATAAATTTTACACAATGTTGTTTTCTCTGTGAATGGTGTGTATGTTGCTGAGAACTGGAAGTACTCCAACCTCTGTCTTAGAATAATAAAATTTAAGGTTGGGGATTGACATTAATAAATACCTCTATAAGATATATATACTACCTCCGGTCCAAATTACTCGCAACTTTAGGGTATTATTTGTGAGATATAAAATATTCCAAAGTTGCGAGTAATTTGGACCGGAGGTAGTATATATATATATATATAGTCAATCGCACTTTAATGATTTGTGGTTTCTGCCGTTCCTTTTAGATTTGTTAAATCACTAGTTCATTACTAGTTATTTACCGTAGTTGATAAAAAGGTTGATAACTTGGTATGCTGTTGATTTAGAAAGTTCTATCTGTAGTTAAGCTTGTATGGTCCATATTTCTGCTACCCGTAAATTCAATGTGATATATATTACCAAAGAAAGGATTGCTTTAACTTCTTTATAGCTTCCCCCTCAAAAGCAAAAAAAAAAAAAAAAAATAAAAAAAAAAAAAAAAAAAATTTATAGCTATAAAGATGCATTACCAAAGGTGACATTACTAATTAAAGGCGCTTAGTGCTCTGTTTCTTGTTAAACCTTTGCCAAATAAAAAAATTGCTGACACAGTTGTTGCTTCTGGTGTAGATTTGGGGCAGCGATCACCTGGCGTTGGTGTGTGAATTTGCTTTTGAAGTTTAAAAGGGGTAGCAACTGCTGTCACACTTCTTCATTGGAATAGTTGCTAGCACTGGACATAAAGTGTCATATAGGGCGTATAGGAAATGATCAGCCTAACATTGAAATTTATGTGGTAATGGCCATGAAATTCTTAAGCAATGGTCTCAGGATCCGTATGAACTGTCGGTTGACTATGAATCAAATGTCCCTTTGGGAATGTTAAGCGCCCGAGAAACTAAGCAGTTAAGTTGACTGAAGAAATAGAAGAGTATGAAAATGGGGATCAAATCATGAGGGATGGGCATATCTGAGTCAATAGCAGCTAGCACAGGCAGATCAAGACTTGAAGGACAAATAATTTATATCAAAAGTTGTGTAAATGGGGTTTTTGAATGATAGTTCATGTTAGTCAATGCTAGTCAATCTCAAATCCTTTTGGGATTAAGGCTTTTTTTTTCCTGATTAAAAAATTTAAGTAAAATAAAATAGAAAGATCATGTATTCTAGAATATAAATCCTCTCTCCACATTATACCTCTTTTCTAAATTATTAGATAACTTTTCCTAGTTATATATGAATAGTGTTTGTTCACTTTACGTTTTGTAGCTTAGTTATTGTAAACACACGACTTATCTCTATTATATAGGGCAAAACATGGTGTGCATTGTTCGCATATTTGATTTTTTTATATATTGGTGCAAAAAGTTCAAGTATTTGGTTAGATAATTTTAAAATAATAGTAGTTTTTTAAATCGAATTTTGTTATATTTGAATAAAAATTCTCTAAACTGAAGGTTAGTCATCAATTTGTCTCTGATTTCACTCTAGTATGTTCTCGTTGTACATTTCTAATGGTACTATTAGATTGTATATTGGTATGTCCAATTTAAATACTTATTTGTAACATTATAGTGTAGCATTAGAAGGCTTTATTATACTATTAGACCATCTAATAGTATGTTACATGCATTTTGAAGAGTTGATTTTTTTTGTTTTTGTCTAAGATGAAGTGTAAAAGTGAGTCGCACTAAAGTAAATAATACGAAGTATGTAATTGCGAAAACATAATTGTCTATCGGGTATTGCCTAAGACTTCCTCAAGGATTGTTGGTAGAAGAGAGGATGCAAATGAAAGTATAATGAGTCCTAGTTTGGGCTTTCACCAAATAAGAAAATAATCCTCAAATTATAGTACGCATCATTGTGCAGAATATGGATGGATTAATATTGCCGCCACATGTACCTGTCTAACCCTGCATGCAAGAGTAAATGTTGTCGCCTAGAACCTCATCATGCTCGATTAAACATATCACTTTGAGATGTAATCAATCGAGCAAAACACTTTTTAAGCAAGTTAAAGCACTATAAATTCTCACGTAAACTCAGAGATATAATACACAACAATAGAGTATGATATCTTAAATCAAAATTTTCCTTAGATCTCATTGAAATCCTTTGTGATAAAACAATTTTTTTTTAAAATGATACTCAAAATGATGTTTGATTAAGTATAATTAAAAATGTTTTATAACTAAGTAAAATAATTTTCTCATATCTCCAAATAGGACATTTAACCATAACATTAAAGAATCCAAGAAAAACTATTAACCTTCATTGTGGTGCTTGAGAAAAAATAACCTATTAATTGAATTCAAAATTTGGATCAATTAGAAAAGACATTGGAAATTATTGGGATTAATATTTTCCTTTTCCATTCAATAAAACATTGAGTAGCAATGTTGTAGGAAATTTAGATACAATGTAGCCTATAATAACAAAGACCATAAAACTATAAAAGTTCCACAAAGATGGGCACTCTTAACAATTTCCTCTACTCTCCCAGTATTCCAATTTACTGATATAACCTCTTGCTGCACAGCCCTTCAGACATCTTAAAACCATGCAAGTTGGAAAGTGGACAAAATACAGGACAAAAAACTCAAACATTAGTGTGTTAAATAAATCATTAAGGCAATCCTCAAAACAAATCCCTTGATCCATGCCAGCAAGTACGATGTTTAGCCATTTATAGCTGACCCGACTGTAAACGTTTTGATGATTCTATTGGGGCAAAATGTAAGATCGAGAACCAAGTAATCAAAATTAAGTACAAAACTGACATCTTATTATGGCATGATGTTTTGTCGTCAACTCAGGAATAACATTTACATCAAACTTGAGATGCAGATGTCCTCAATAATGATTCAATTACCCAAGCAATTTCCCAAGGTTTTTTGCTCTTCGTACACAGTCTTGATACCTTTGGACCACACTTGCGCATTTGAGCGATTCTGTGGTGTGTTCTTTGTAACATGCTGTGCATGCATCTCTCTCACACTGACAGACAATAGATTTCTGCTGAGGAAGCTTGAATTCTTTCTCATGTAGTTCCTTTGATCTCTGTGTCACTTCTTTCAGCATATTCTCCTCATGTTTCTGCATTTTCTCCAAAATAGCTTCACTCTCCTTTAAAACAGATCGAACAGCTTCTAGCTCTGGATTTGGGGATGGAGGCACAGGCAAAAAGAATGGGGGTTGAAGAGGCCAACCAGCAGCAGGAGTGTCTTTTTGAGCTTTAGGCTCGTCAGGAAGCTGCTTCTGGGGTACTTTCTTCTGTGACTGCTGAGACTCCCTAGGTACCTTTGGCTTACTTTTCTTAGGTTTTTTCTTTGACTTGTCATCGCCATCTACAAGCTGAAGTATCAGGTTATGACTGACTGTAATACTGTCACCCATTGAGGCAGCACCACTAGACAACCTGAAACCATTTGTTCAGAAAACCCATCTGATCAAGAATGCAGCAACAATTATATGCAACTCTTAAAGACTTGCAGCTATTAGATAAATTAGCAAGTGTACTATAAATGAGGTTTGCAATGGGCTTTATTTAAATTCCAGATATCCTACAAAATTCCCAGACTGTCCTAAGCTAAACACAAAACAAAAACAATCCCTAAACTTCATACTCAACACCACTACAGCCCCAAGAAAATATTGCGTCTACATAAAAAGACATTAAGTGATAGATGCAGGACTTGTGTTATTTTGTGTCCACTTGGGTAGCATAGAAAAGATAAAGGGTAAACCAAACAAATTATTCCATTTGAAGCCATAAATAGATGGAGTTTTCAGCTATTAGGATGCTTTAGAATAATCCAACAATGATTTAAGACTAAAAGAGATGGTGATGTTAGAAAGATATGTTACACATTGGGTTGTATGTAGGTTATCAGGTGTCGTGTGTCAGATACGCTGACAATTCAACACAACACAAAGCCAAATCTGAGTATAAGCAACTTAGTTAAGACGTAACTAGGGGAGTGTAAATGAAAAAAGTGGCAGGAATGCGCTCAGCTTGGTAAAGTCAAAAGTTCAAGATTGGGCTCAGCCACCTTGGTATTTTGTTAATTTCTGTATAAGAAGATACATAATTCTAACAAAAGAAACAATACAAAGCATGAATTAAAGAGTGAGCAATTCAGCTGAGTGGTGCATCATAGGATAACAGCTTGTAATGGATCAAATTGAGGTTCAACTTAACTCATATGGTCAATCAAGTTGAACCAAAGGATACGCTAACCCTTCTTGTCATAATGCTAACCTAGCTAGCACATACATGAGGCTGGGAAAATTGAATATGCCTATTCTTAAAAATACCGAATAGGCAATTCAACAAACCAGTCAAATATTGTCACATGTTTGACAAAACAATAAAGCATTACTAGTCACAGTCCAACACCAAATGTAGTCACAGCCTAACATGCCCATGCTGAATAGAAGTCACTGGTCCACAAACTCACAAATCAGTGAGTCACAATTTATCACAAACTAAAAACTTGCTGTTTCAAAGAGAGAAAAAATATGAAAGGGATTGATTAAAGAGATAACAGCAAAGAAAAGTCAGAAACCAGTCAAGAAATGAGACACAGCAGCAAAATAACAAATTGTGTCGGCATATAACACCAAACATTGAATCCCAAAAGGAAAGAACTCCAAACAACCCAGGAGTCTATCAAATTCTCCCAACACCAATGAACTTTGAATGGCCAAATAGAAAATGAACATTGCATTACTATGAGCCCCAATTATTAAAGAGATGTGCATAACTGTAGTAGGATAAACGAGCAAAATCATAAGATAAAACGCAGAAGATCAAAAGTCCACAGGTTCTAGAGCAAACTTAGAAACCAAACCATAAAATAAAATAAATAAACAAATAAAAAAACACTAGACAATCTCTAAACAAAGAGCGAACATGCTACGACATGAACAGGACCTCAATCACCAATGAACAAGAACCAAAAACACGACCTGAAAAAGAGCACAAGATAAAACTGAAGAGATCAAAAGCTGACAGGTTTTACAGCCAACTGAGAAACCCCAAACATTATAAAAAAAAAAAAAAAAAAAAAACACCTAACCACTAATTTATAAATAAAAAGCTAACATGTCTGCTACATGAAAATAACCTTAACCACTAATAAACAAGCACAAAATAATACAGCCTGAGGAGCAACATATTAGTGTGATGTAAAGAAACTAAATGATCCCCTACTTCCAACGACATACACCAATCATCCCCTCATTCTCCCCTCACCCAGACAACTCATTTCCTCCTCATCCCAACACCCAAATAAAATAAGAAGCAGTTACAATATCAAAGCTAACTTTAAACAAGGGGTGCAATACACACCAAATTCGAAACCCAAAAACCGAGTTAGCCTATAATTACACCAGACCAATCAAACTCCACTGACTTACAAAACCACAAGCAGAAAATAACGAAACATTGAAAAACATTAATCAATACCTCAGGAAGATTAAGGCAAAGATAGGATGATTTTAAATTCAAAAAAAAGGGGCTCCACTTCATTGATGCACAGAAAATGAACTAGGCCTAAACCAAAATTAATTAAAAGCTTAGACAGAAATTTGGAGAAGGAAAAAAAAAACCTACAACTGTAATCATACTACTCATTGGTTATGTATATCAAATGATATTATTACTCTAGTTCTAAATTAGTTTTTACGTTTTCCCTGTCCTAGATTAGTGACTCCTTTTGACAAAGGAAGTAGAAATTCACATAAATTTGGAATATTTGGGAATTAAATTGCTTACTTTAAATTCATGGGATTTTTCTAAAGTAGTTTGGTTTGCAATGTAAAGAGTAAATTTCCATAGGAATTTCTATTTACATAGGTAATTAAATTACTACATTTTGTGGGAAGTGAAAAATTCCTAGGATTTTCTACTTCCTCCACCCCACCATTTTATTGTCAACCAAACAACTCTCCCTAATTACAATTCCTTGTATTTTCCAATTCCCACATTTTCTTATGCCAACCAAACATCACCTTATACATCCCTCATTTCACTGGAAAAAGTTAGAACCTCACACTCTTTTGCATTCGATCAAATAAGTCACTCTCTCCTTTCACGTATACCTTTTCAATAAAACAACATCCCACTACCTCCTACATCTACTTTATAAATTAAACGGTGAGTGAAAACCAATAAAAACTAACTTAATCAGTCCCCAAATTCAAATCAAGTTTCACCCAATAATCTAGTCCTAAATAAAAGTCCCATTCAGTTTTATCTACATTTTATTTCATTCACCTTTAATCAATCAAACCCGACTATCTTATTCAATTATGCAATTTCAACCATCAATTGGGCCATTGGGGACCAAGGGAGTATGTGATATCACATGATAAGTGTCAGCAATAATCTAGGATATGTAAACTATAATCTAACATACCATCTAACTATTTCTGCAATCGACTAGATGTAATCGTATAGTTCAATCTTAACATTAAAGGGTTCTGCAATTCACTAATAACCAAATTTAATTCAATTATCAATTAAGCTCATAATTTTAGGTATATTTGATTCAGTTATCAATTAAGCTCATAATTTTTCTTTTCTTACAACATAATTGCTGGTTATGATCTTTGATAATCTTAGTAATTAGAACCAATAGTTCACATTTTCGAACCCTAAACTTACTACACTGACAATTTAATCAAATTAAATTAAATTAGATCAAAGATAAACCCTAAATTGTAAAAACGATTTGATGATTACAAAAAAGAAACAAAAACTTACCTCAGAAGCTGCTTCAATGTGAGATACAAGTATTTCAATGGAGAACGTGAAGTGCGCTTCAATGGAGAACTGAAAGACAAGTTTTTTTTTTTTTCCCCTTATTGACAATTAGAGCAATTCATTGGGATGGAGCCCCGTTTAAAGCTCTGACCCGCCCCAATTATTACTGGATCAGATCCGTCCAAATTATTAAATGGCGGGTCTTTCTAAAGTTGTCCAATTATGAACTAATGGGGTTTAATGAACTCTATAACGGTTTGAAATAAGAAAACTACTACCTCCGTTTCTTTTTAGTTGATACGTACTCCCTCTGTTTTTAAATACTAGTTTCATTTTAATTTTTTGCACTATTTATTTGTCTTACTTTGACTAATGTTTGTGATTTATACATAAGAAAAAATATAGTCTTGTGAGTACTTGTTGGCATCATCTCAATAAATAGATTATTAATTTTCAATTGTTAGAATTTATAGTTACTGGTAATTGAAGATATTAGTGATCAAAGATTAGTAGCGGCATGCGTGTCCAAGAGAAATGGAGCAAGTATTTAAAAACGGAGGGAGTATTCCTTTTTAGGAAGTTTTTTTTTAGTTGACATGTTTCCTTTTGGAGTAACTTTTTTACCTTGCATTTACAAGGTACCCCACTTGCTTTTTCATTCTTTCTCACTCTATCTCTTCTCCTTAATATATGTCCCTAAATCAAACGCGTCAACTAAATAGAAATGGAGGAAGTATTATACTACGAGTCTGTTCACATTTACTAAACTAAGCTGAACTGATTGGAGCTGAACTGATTGGAGCTGTGCTAAACTGAACTAAAATGAAATTAAGTAAGGGCCTGTTCACATTTACTTAATTTCAGTTCAGTTCAGCTCCAATAAGTTCAATTCAAAGGCGGGGCGAAAGAACAAAGGAGCAACCCTTCGCCTTGTCTCACGCCTGACCGCCCTTCCCCCAACCCACCACTGCCCTCCCCAAACCCACCACCGGCGACGCACCTGCACCCCCAACCCACCTAAACCCTCCTCCTCCCTTTCCCGCAAGCATTTCGCCCCCAAAATCCACCAAACCCAAAACCCTCCTTCCCCATTTATGGCCAAATTCGTGGCCGTTTTGGGGAAGGAGGGTTTTGGGTTTGGTGGTTTTTGGGGGCGAAACGGTTGCGAGAAAGAGAGGGGGAGGGCTGATGTTTCCAATTTGTATAGTGTTTTACCCCCGTCCCTTGGTCATAATTAGTGGTGTTTTTGGCTCTTCAGAGCCACTTTTATTACTAATTGGTGTTTTCTAGTGTCTTTGTAGTTTTGTAGGAAATTGCACATTTGGAGTGTTTTCCAGGTTTTTCATGAAGCATCTATGAACATTAGGAGGACACGACCTTTCTTTGAAGCCCAGGACCGATTAAAGCCGGTGATTAAGGGCTCGATGTGTGATACCGGGGCATTCGGACCAAGTATTCAAGACCCGAAGAGGAAATCCGGATTTGGCCGAAGAATGAAGCCCAATCGAAGTCCAAGCCTCGAGGAGAAGACCGGGCCCGATCGGGCAAGCTTGCGCCCGATCGGGCGGGCGCGTAGAAGAGAGCGCCAGCAAGAAGGCGCGCCCGATCGGGTGAGCATTAGCTTGATCGGGCGCGGTTACCCAGGAGGAACCTGAAGAAAAAGGCGAGCCCGATCGGGCGTGTGTTTTGGAGCTGAGATTTTAGCTTTCAATTAGGATTTGTTTTAGGGATGTTTAAGTACGATTTTTGTACGTAATTTTGATTTACCTTCTCTTTTAGAATTTTTCTCTCTACTTAGAATATTTTCTCTCTCTTAAATTCTCTTAAATTCTCTCAACTTTGTTCTTAATTCCATTCCTTAATCCAGATTTCTTTTGGTTAAAATTTCTTCTCTTTTAATTTCAGTTATTTTCTTTAATTCTTTCATCGTGTCTTATTTTATTGTTTTGATTAGTTTAGATTTAATTATGTGTGAGTAGTTTTTATTTCTAGGGTTTATGGGGATCTAATAAATAATATGAAGGGGTAATTTGTGATTGTTGATTATCAATGCTTGATTAATTTCCTATTGATTGATTTAATGTTATGCAATTAGGTTTGGCCAGATTTAATTGTATGAGTTTAGCAATATTGATTCGAGATTTGAGATATGAGAATTGATGTTTAGGCTTAGTTTCAATAGGCGGACTAATTTATAAATGGTTAAGTCGAGATTCGAGAGATGAGATTTAATACTGGTAAATTAACTCTGTGATTGTAATACGCAGCGAAAGCCCTTTATAATCTGATTAATTGATGCATTGGTGATTGCTTATTATGATTTAATTTACCCTGGAATATTGTTTATTGGTGAACCTATGCCCTAGGTTTTTCCTTCATTGATTTACCTCCTATTTTATTCCCTTCCTACTCTTACCTTTTAGTAGTTTAATTACCTTTTTACAACAATTTGGTTACTTGATAATTTAGATTGCTTTTAATTAATTAGGAATTAATTGACTTGATTCCCTGTGGTTCGACCCTTCTTCCCTATCTACATAGTTAGTGGATTTAGGTTTTATTTTTTATTAGGTAAATACGACTTGAGCCTGTCAAATTTTGGCGTCGTTGCCGGGGAGACGGTTTTATTTTTATTTTCTGATTATTTTTTGTGGTCTAGATTATCCCCTTTTGTCTCAGAGAACGTTAGTTCTTTGAGGCAATTCTCATATTTGTCTTTTAGTTCCTTGTTTATGCCCAGGTGTTCCAGATCAGGTTACATCCGATTCGATCTTGAGGTCGAGCGCTCGTTTCATAGGCAAAGGATTCTTTATAGACAAATCTTGGCGGGTTCTGAGGAAGACAATAATCGAAGAGACCCTCCATCTGATTCTAGTGAAGCAGAAATTCCTTCAGATACAGAATCAGAGATGACGGCTCAAAAGAAGCTCAGTGACTACTCGCAGCCGAAGCTCACAGGTTTCCCGCACCTTACTCCCACTCCGGCTCTTGATGGAGTACAATTTGAAATTAATCCCCAATTTATCACCATGATAGAGAGGAAACAATTTAGTGGAGTTAAGGGTGAAGATCCTAATCTTCACATTGCAGATTTCTGCCAATATTGTAACACCATTAAACAAGTCGGGGTCACGTAGGACCAAATCAGGGAGATTCTTTTTCCCTTTTCATTATGTGGCAAAGCTAAATTATGGTTTAATGGTTTGAATAGAACTGCACTTGGTATTAATGACTGGGAAACTCTTGCCTTGAATTTCTATAATAAATATTACCCTGCAGAGAGAACAGCTGTACTAAGGAGTGCTATTCAGAACTTCGCCCAAGAAGCCGATGAAACTTTATATGAGGCTTAGTAGAGGGTCAAGGATCTACAGAGAGAATGCCCCCACTGTAGGAGTTTATAGGTACTACGCAGCGGAAATACATGAATCATATTCAATCAAGTACCAATACCAAGATCACATGCATAACACACAAGACACATAATCATACCTTTGACGCGTGAATTCCACAAAGCTATTCGACAGGCAAATCAGGGAGAGAATAGAGCCCCAAGCATTGCTCCTCTACTTAGTCCACGAGATTCGAACGAGCCGTCCACCAATACTAGATTGGTCGAGTGATTGAGGAAAAACCGCGATCACCACCTTTACGGACAACCGACCACCGCACGAACCACCACCACCACCATGAACCACCACCGGATTGAGGAGGAGGAGAGAGCCGTGTGAGAGAGAGGACTTTGAGAGGGTTGGGTTTCGTGTTTGCTAATTAGGGTTTGATCACACTGATCAGTTAATTGCTTCTTTTGCAAACCTAGGCACCTAGTCTATTTATAATCCTATTATAATTAGACTAGGGCACGAAGCCCAAAACCACTTCTAATCCCCATATGGCCGGCCACCTAGAGTGATGAGGCCCATGATGGACCTCGTCCTCTAGTGCTCGATCTAGCCCCTTTGTGTGACCTTATAAGATCCATCCAATTGGGCTTTGGGATATTTTACTAGTCCAAAGATCGTTGGTACCTCTAGCTATGGCAAAATGACGACCCAAATGTACAAACTTAATTATCTCCATAATTTGATCCAATTATATATCTAGTAATTGCACACGACGAAGACATAACTCCTTCAATCTCCCACTTGTTTGAGACAAGGGTGCAATATTCAAATTCCTTAAGTCAATATATGTGTCGATTTGATAATATGATTGCATCACATGTTGAGATCATATTAATCTACAAATCGTTCCTTGAAATCTGAGTTAGAATTACAAAACCAAATGATTACTGTGTAATGCATTTGAACGCGCCCACGTAATTTCTGAATTCTCCCTCTTAAAGCGGCCATGACACATTTCCTAATTTAATAGGTAGACTCTATCCAATCTTATGGTAACATGACTCCCACTCAACTTCTGAAATAACCAGGAAACACCCTTTATAATCTCCAGTTACGGCTAGACGTTTGAGTGTACTATAGTCACAACATCCATTGAATGAAATCAATGTTCCACTCATGTCAAAGGAATCAACTAATATATACGGAAGCTCTATACTTGAACTTCAAAGTAGGTCATTAGTTCGATCATGCATCATTCATGCATATCCAAGTGATTGACCGAGCATCACCATGCCCCTATAGCCCATGAAACTGCGCTATACAATCAATCTTACATGCTAGTCCATTTATTGAAATCATTTATGTCCACTTTAATGATCTCGAACTAGGAACTTAAGTAATATATGAATTTTGTTCACTTGTGAGGTTTCAATTCACCAGGTCATCAACCTGATGAGCCCATCAATTCATAATTATTTTGGACATTTTATTTAATTTCCAAAACCATAATTAAATAAGAGAAATAATAATTTCTATTTTAAACATAATTCTGCAAATTGGTGCATTTCTCATGTAATATGCTTTCTCAAAACATATACAACTTAAATTACATAACTTGCTTCAATCCTAAGACTTTAATATGACTCTCATACCTTAGTCCATGGAAGGGGTTTAGTGATTTCTTACTCATAATAAAACTTTGCAGAACATGACCTTCCGCTGGTCAATGATCTCATAATTGAGGTGATATCTCATATCTATAAGTTTGGATTTGTG